CGCGGTGGGTAGTCGGTCTTTTTTTCCTCCTTGGGACTCTTTATCGAAGGTCTTGCCCCATTTTGATAGGTAAAGGGCGCTAGGAAAGCCGCGTCTGTTAATTGCCTCAATTTCGTTTTTTGTGTGGGGGAGTGGGTGTCTAGGGGCCGTCTGAGCCTCGGCCGCTTGGCGGCTGTTGGGGTCCTCGAAGGAGTGTCTTCCGAGGGGAGGGCAGCGCGACGCTGAGGCGAACGGAGCAGCCGTCGTTTTATGTAATTTTTTTCGGGAGGTGTTTTGGGGACACCGGGAGTTGTATGGAAGCTGTGGGGGGCCGCTTCCGATGCCGTCTATACGGCCGCAGGTTGGCCGGCGCCAGCGGAATCAGCCGTGTGGCTGAGCCGCGACTACAAAATGCCGGCCTCGGACATGGCGGCGGCGCCTTTGTTACCCCGCCCGGCGGAGGAGCTCAAAATGGCAGCGTCGAGAAAATGTGGCGCAGAGAGAAATGCGAGACAAAGGGGGAAGCGCCGCCCCAGCGGGAACGCCGCCCGACCGACTCCGCCCGGGCCGGGACTCCTCCCCCGGTAGTCTCCGGCTCCTCCTTCTCTTTTTCCTAACGTTATGTAATTTTTGTTACCTTGAACGAGAGCGCTAATATGCGCTTCTCCCAACCTGATTCGCTTTTGTGAGTGCGCAGGTGTATGCCCTCCTGCTTTTGATGCCCTCAGTGCCTCTGCCGTCCCGTTAGCTATTAACTCCTTTTGCTTGAAAACAGTGGTTAAAAATAACACCGCTGTTAAGCTCCTCCCTTCTTGCTCGTTCTCCTAGGTACGTATTTCCTAAGCTCTTGGGAAAGACTAGGTAGTATCTGCAAGCTGTTGTCAAAGCTTGTAATCTGAATTTGGGGCAGCCAGTTTTCCAAGATGATAAATGGTAGGCTTGGCCCCAGTAGTGTGTACCTGAGGTGCAAGAAACGATATAAATGCCGCTTGACATAAAGCTTGTAATCTGAATTTGGGGCAGCCAGTTTTCCAAGATGATAAATGGTAGGCTTGGCCCCCAGTAGTGTGTACCTGAGGTGCAAGAAACGATATAAATGCCGCTTGACAGACTGACTGTCTATAAGGACTCAGGTTATATACTTTCAGAAGTCTACTTTAGTTGGTGCCAAGAGATGATAAATGTATAAAAATCTATGTGTGGATGTTTGAAAACTGTGAATGACCGTCTTAATTTCAGGTTTGGTGCACCTCGATTTGGAGGGAGTAGAGCAGGTCCCCTGTCTGGAAAGAAATTTGGAAATCCTGGGGAGAAACTAGTTAAAAAGAAGTGGAATCTTGATGAGCTGCCCAAATTTGAGAAGAACTTTTATCAGGAACACCCAGATTTGGCTAGGCGCACAGCAGTGAGTAATTTCATGTGGTTTCATCAGACAATAATGTAGTAATTGCTTTTAGTAAATTAGAATCTTGATATCGGGTATCTTTTAAATGACTATTTTGGGAGAACTAACTTTCTAACTTGGAAGAATGTCTACGAGTGAGTTTTCTTTTAAAGGGATTGAGTGTTGTAGAATTCGTGGGTTTTCATATAGATACGGATAAAAATGAGTTTGCTTTAAAGTTGCATAGTTGGGGTTATGACGTCTACAAAAATCACTAATTTGTTTTGTAGCAAGAGGTGGAGACATACAGAAGAAGCAAAGAAATTACAGTGAGAGGTCACAACTGTCCAAAGCCAGTTTTGAATTTCTATGAAGCAAATTTCCCTGGTGAGTGCTAATTTATTGTTCAGATGTCTCCTGTTTCTTTTTTATCTTGGCATTAAAAACTTACCAAGATGGTATTATTGATTACAGCAAATGTCATGGATGTGATTGCAAGGCAGAACTTTACTGAACCCACTGCTATTCAAGCTCAGGGATGGCCAGTTGCTCTAAGTGGATTGGATATGGTTGGAGTGGCCCAGACTGGATCTGGGAAGACATTATCTGTAAGTTTCAGTTGAATTACATGGTTAATTTTTGTGTTGCTGGGTGATAAATGTCAAGGTAGAACAGAACTAAAAACAGTATTTTTAAATGACTTCTGTTGTTTAGGATTTGTTTTATCTTCTCTCTACCCAATAGTATTTGCTGCCTGCCATCGTCCACATCAATCATCAGCCATTCCTAGAGAGAGGTGATGGGCCAATTGTAAGTACATTTCTTCAAGTTTTATGGCCAGGAGGAGATACTGTAGGGATTTGTAGAACACATAGCAAAAGATAAAGGTGACCCACCTGGGTTTAGTCTACCCAGCAGCCCCTGCTCCCCAAAAAGAAATGCACCAAAGAAGCAAAACTAGTGTCTGGGTCTGTGCTAAAAGCTGTTCTTTTTCCCTTAGTGTTTGGTGCTGGCACCAACTCGGGAACTGGCCCAGCAGGTGCAGCAAGTAGCTGCTGAATACTGTAGAGCTTGTCGCTTGAAGTCTACTTGCATCTATGGTGGAGCTCCCAAGGGACCACAGATACGTGATTTGGAGAGAGGTATGTATGTGATAAGGTTCTGTCACTGATAGCAATAAAAGATTTAGATATAGCTACATTTTCTCTCTGTCTCCCCCC